ACAAACAGTCAGCACATTCGCGCCTTGGCACCCACGTCACTGTTGACAGTTACAATTTCGAGAAAGTAGAGAATTTCGTTTACTTGGGAACCAGCATTAACACCGATAATAATGTCAGCATTGAAATCCAACGTAGAATCACTCTTGCCAACAAGTGCTACTTTGGACTGAGTAGGCAATTCAGGAGTAAAGTCCTCTCTCGACGTACGAAAACCACGCTCTATAAGTCACTCATCATGCCCGTGCTGGTATATGGCGCAGAAGCATGGACAATGACAACATCCGATGAGGCGGCTCTTGGGGTGTTTGAGAGAAAGATTTTGCGGAAGATTTACGGTCCTTTACGCGTTGGCGACGGCGAGTACCGCAGACGATGGAACGATGAGCTGTATGAGCTTTACAACGATATGGACATAGTGCAGCGAATTAAAATACAGCGGCTGCGCTGGCTTGGTCATGTCGTTCGAATGGACACCGACGCTCCAGCTCTGAATGTATTCAACTCGGAACCCGCTGGTGGTAGCAGAGGAAGATGGAGGCCCCACTGCGATGGAAAGATCAGGTGGAGAAGGACTTGGCTTCACTTGGCGTTTCCAATTGGCGTCAGTTGGCACAGAGGAGAAACGACTGGCGTGCTTTGCTTAACTCGGCCAAAATCGCTTAGGCGGTTGCAGCGCCAAAAAAGAAGAAGAAAAGATATATGCCGTACTAACTAAATGGCACATGGAATTTTTAACAATTTAGGCAACATTTTTTACTTAAAATTTTCCGCGCATTTTTTATAAAAAGTATTGTTCATACTACAACAAAAAACATAAAAAAATCTCTTAACTTCGTGCCAAACTCGGGAAAATTCAATAAATGTGCATACAAGTTGGCCTTTTAGTATAACAAAGTGCCGGTTTAGAAATTGGTAAAAAATCGTGCTGATATTTGGGAATTTGTTTGCAGGTAGTTTCTTCCAAAGAAAAGAAAAAATCGAATATTTTATACTTCACTGGGACACTAT